AAGCGTCGTACCATGGGGTTAGAGTCAGAGATGAGGTCTTTGAGCGTGTCCAGGAAGCCTTGATCCTCCACCAACTGGGCGTTGATGTCATGGAGCTTTGCTACACACACAGCAGCGGTCTTCCTCATATGGGTCTTCATCCTTCAGACATTTCCTCAGCGGCTCGCAGAGGTACTCGTGATCTTGTCCACACGGATGCAGCCCATAGTGCGGACAGCGAGCGCCCGGATCAGAGGGTTGGGGTCTTCACAGTCCTAGGTGGATGGATGGTTCAGGGCAGGTTATACATTTTTGTCACAACGTATTCATTATTTCTACATCAGAAGGACATTATCTAAGAGAGAGAGTTTCAATAAAACAACATCTGTCTGCATTCTGTGAATAATAAAAATGATATTTATCAAGTGAAACTGAAGGAGAAAGTAATTTAAAGAACACTGATGGCTTCATTCAAACTAAACTGATACCTTGAGGTTTGGTGAATATTTACTTATCGTCAAAGAAATTCAAAAGGGAATAATGGCAACTTAATTGCACACCTGTAGAAACAAGTTCTGCCCAAAACCGCACGAGTAGGTTCAACTTCACAAGAGTTTTATCCTCAAACATATTTGTTTATACATAAGAAACTTATGCGCACTGTGTCCCATTAGCGCCACGGTTTTGCTCCGTCCAACGGCTCACGCCCGGCACACTGAGCCCTTTTCTGGAACGTGAGCACAGAGGAGCGCCGCCACTGTAGCAGCAGTACACACATCACAGGAGCAGTACAAGGTCACTCTGGAATTGTCTTTCTAAGGCAGCTTGTTCATTAAATAGTCTGTAGTATAAAAGAACCCCCCCCACTGGACACTGTCTCTTCTTCCCCCTCCTCCCTCGCCTCTGGAAGGAGATCCAGGACAATCAAAACAAACACTAACAGCCTGAGGAACAGTTTCTTTCCACAGGCAGTAAAATGAACTGACTTCCTGTCTGGCTCGATCTATACTGTCTAGCTTGACGCGCGCTCGCAGCGAGCTCCGTCAAAAATAGACTTGTAGCGTATTTGAATAGTAACAGAGCGTAGTGGGGCTGCTGGCACGCTTCAGAGACGCTCACTGTGAAAACTGGAACATTGACTAGAGGCGCGGTGTCAGCTGTGAACATGACAGATTGAGCTTTACCTTCACAAAGGTGTTGACGGCCATGATGGCCATGTCAGGCTGACTCTTGGCATAGTTCATCAGGTAGAGGTAGACCAGCTTTTTCAGTTCCAGGTTGTCCGTCTGCATGCAGTTCACGACATCTGGGAACAGAGCGCTGAGGGGAGGAAAAAGGTGTCGTATTACAAAGTCGATGTGTTAAGAGTGTAATATTACAGTGCGGGACATCATTTCCCTCACCTGACATCCTTGCCAACTGTCATAGACGCAATGACCTTCTTCACAGCCTCCTTCTTCTTCTCTTTCTTATCGCTGTTCAGCTCTGCCTTGAGCTCAAAGATCTCGCCTGTACACAAAAGAAAACACATCGGGTAACCCATTTGTTATGGACAGAACGATACCACACATTTCACACAAACAACATGCAAACAGTGAAGTTGACACACTAATATGCAGGGTACAACGGCCCCTTGTCAATCAAACCCCCTCATAAAGACACACATACACAACCTGCTCAGGAGTTGAAACACGTGTCTGTATGTTGATGTTTTTAACAAAGGGTTGGTGATTAAGGAGACACTTCAGATTGCTCAGAGCTTTACATAAGCACCTTCTGCCAGCCAAACAGCTGCCTTCCTATTTAAGTCCAGCCACAAACTGATTGCATGTGCAGTTAGTATCATGCAAAGTATCTGCATGTGCTGCTATTTTTAAAAATGTACGATTCAAGTTGAAGTTTGGCCAAAATGAAGTTTGGCCAAAATCTTATGTGACTGTTCAGGACTGGACCATTCTTCAATATGATCTGTCACATTTAACAACTTGGTATTAAAGTCCTTGTTTATCGTGATGCCTTGAGTAAAAGTTAGAGGGGAGGAATGTGCAACCATTGAATAAAACGTTATCAGTGTAAGTATTGAATAAAGATTTTTTTCTTTCTGTGAACTTCTCATGATGAGTTCATTTCTGATGCTTTGAGTTTGTACTCGACTGAAAACGACTCAAACTTTGTAAAGTTTAATTAAGGTTGGCACATTAGACACTGAGAAGTAAATGAAACAAACAACAAGTGTCAGCACACCATCAATTTGTGCCCAAATTTGTGTCTACCTACTTAGAGATTTCCAAAGACTGTAAACCTCTAATCCACCTCAAATCCTCTTCAGGATGATAGAAACAGACTGCACACAAAAACACTGGCCCGTGCAAAAATAAAAACTGAAAGAACGATACTTTTCTGTGTCGAGAGCAATCCTTCTAAACAAACTGAATCCAACATCTAATTTAAAAAGGGTCTGTTAGTGTTTTCTGGGCCCTGTGTCTATGGAAAGATAAAACACTTCTGGGTTGTGTAAAAAGAGTTAAAGTGAAGCAACAGGAGGCACAGCGGGACAAATCTCTAAGAGCTCTTGTTCAATATGTCTTATCTGATTTACATTAACCAGAGACGTTCAGTTATTGGCAACGAGGACAAAACAAAGCAGAAGATATTTTCAATTACCTCAGGGTCAAAGTGGATGCATCAGATATTGGCAGAGATTTTAATATAATTTCTCTAGCACCGGTGAACAAGTTCAAATTAGTTGGACAACTCTACAATCATACAAATGCTTCATGTGTCTTCTGCAGAGATAATAATACAGCTCCACCACGCTGACAGCATCACAAAACCCCAGGGACCTTATTTCAAAACTGTTAAATCAACAATCAATCCAAATGAACAAATCACGAGCTGACCCACCTTTCTTGGTTGTGGTGAAGTACTTGGAGTCCGTCATCTTGGATCCAAATTGTCGATTCTCCTGCAAAAGAAAGAGACAGTGACAGAGGTGATTGTGAAATCTTCCCCCAAAGTGGAAACTTAGAGAATCATGAGGGCAACAGGAAACACGAGAAGTGCAAGCTCAGGGAAATAAAAGGAATTCCTGTCGTCTTCTGAACAAATGGCAGCGAGTGAGCTATCGGAGAGGGAAACAATGGATCTCGCTGGGAAAACAGTCACTAATATCTCCTGTTTGGACATCTTGGTCAGCGTGTTTGTGGCCAACAACCTCTCTTTAACTGGGTGGACTTTGACTGCTCTCTATAAAGATGTGTCCAAGTTAAACAACATTTGAAACACGCTCCTGTTGTAAAAATAAAATAAAAAGTATTCCTCTTAAACTTTCAAAATGACATTTCTGTCTTTTTGAGCTGCGTTAACTTTTAAGAAACATTTTATTGCACTTTAGATTATGATGACTTTTCTTAACTGTTGTAGCAACATTAAAAGAACAATACAAATATAGAGAGCTGGAATTGATTTGGCAAAAACATATATACTGCAAAACTTTTTTCTTTTTTTTTTAACGCCACTATCTGCTGTTGGCTTCTCTAGTTTCACGTCAGTAGCCATTTTTCACATTATACATTTCTTCCTCGTTCTCTCTCCATCTCTGAGCAAAAAAACTATAAAATAATAACACCTGCAAAACAAAATAACCAACATTATGCATTTTGTTAAGCAGGAAATGAACATTTTATATTTATTTTGATCGAGGAGCATTCAGTCAATGATCGCATTTTTTATTTCACAAACATGTTTTTGTTATTTAACTTGTTATTAGATATGACAGCTGAAGAGAAACAGGACATGTTGAGTTGGAGATGACGTGCAAAAAAGAGTAGAGGTCGGATTCAAACCCACGGCGTCTACCACAGGCACTACAGCCTCTGTGCATGGGGCTTGACACATAACCACCATGCTATTGACGTTCCCAGTTTGTCTTTATGTCATTTATTTCCATGTACATGTTGACATAGTGCAGCTGGCTGTTAATAAAAGTGCAGGTGTTCTACTGAATAGTGCTACCGTGCAGCTCTGTGCAGTGCAGGGAGCATGATTTGAGAAACAGGTTTTATAACACAGTTACAAAACATGGTTTAGGTTTTTCTTAAAGTGTTGTAAAGTGATGCTGTACTTTTAAAGTGATGCAAGAGGAGATTATTGATCATCCAGATGCACTCACAAAGAAAATGTTAAATAATATATCACCAAAACTTACTGCTGCATTCTCTGATGATGCATATGGAGTGATTAGTAAAGTAAAGTAATGTTATATTTGTTGTTGTATCATCTGATAGGGGATCTCTTATGGAGACATATGGTCTGCGCGATGGTAGCTTCTTTTTGACAAGGTAGCAAATCTCGACATAACACCGGTGTGTCAAAAAAAACAGACTTTGTTTTTGTTATTTCTTTACAGAAAATAATATGAAGACATATATAATGTAATGCCATTCCGCTTAATACTTTAAAGATGTGACTTTTGGTCCATATTCAAACTTTTTATTTTTAGGTGTAATAACCAAAAACATTCAAACACACACTGGCGACGTCAGCTAGCCAGAGTTTAGCTAACCAATCTCCGAGACGGTTTCACGACAATTCACCCCTCTACATTAAATATATTCACAGCGAATTAGACATCGCAGTCTTAAATAATGCACAAACTAACAATACGAGCAACTTCCACATGCTGACTTTCAGTTATAACTCCCAACTAAACCAAAAGAGTAACCGGAGAAGACGCTAGCTCGCTGGTTAGCATCAGGCTACTTTGATGTTAGCATCGTTAGCTGTCGTAAAATACGCAGCGGTGACGTAAAGCGTCTTCAACCGGAGGCTTAAATTAGATAAATAAGACACAGATCCATTACTCACGCATAACTGATTCGCCCATTCTTGCATGTTTGCAGTAGTTTAGTGTTAGCTGAGTGATGCTAAAGGCTAGCCGTGTGTGTCTCTCCCCCGCAGCTGATGACCTTCTGAGTCCGGGCTTAAGGAACCTTTCGCCGGCTTCGTTAAGCTCTTAATCTGCGGCTCAGATTTAAACCTTCCACCCGACGACTTAGCGCACACGCTGGAGTTAAAATTAGACTCGCCTCGCAATGAATTTGGAGAGAAAAGGTGCACACAAACATCTTACCGTGACAGGCTCGGTGAGGTGAGGAGCTGTGATGATGGCCTCCGTCCACTCCCACTCGAGTTTACTTCCGTGTTTCCACGAACTGACACGCGACGTCAACTTGTCCACACTCAGAGGAGTCACGGGGGTCAATTAATAATAATCATAATCATAATAATCATAATCATAATCATAATCATAATCATATATTGCATGTAAGGGACACAAGGAAGCTTCACATCAGAAAACAACAACATTAAAAATAGTTCAGAAGTTACAAAACAGCAACTTTCACTTCACTATCTGATGATAACATGTCTAATGTCTAATATGTCTAATATGTCTAATATGTCTAATATGTCTAACATGTCTAATATGTCTAATATGTCTAATATGTCTAACATGTCTAACATGTCTAATATGTCTAATGTCTAATATGTCTAATATGTCTAATGTCTAATATGTCTAATGTCTAATATGTCTAATGTCTAATATGTCTAACATGTCTAACATGTCTAATATGTCTAACATGTCTAATGTCTAATATGTCTAATATGTCTAATATGTCTAATATGTCTAACATGTCTAATATGTCTAATATGTCTAATGTCTAATATGTCTAACATGTCTAACATGTCTAATATGTCTAATATGTCTAATGTCTAATATGTCTAACATGTCTAATATGTCTAATGTCTAATATGTCTAACATGTCTAATATGTCTAATATGTCTAATGTCTAATATGTCTAACATGTCTAACATGTCTAATATGTCTAATATGTCTAACATGTCTAACATGTCTAATATGTCTAATATGTCTAATGTCTAATATGTCTAACATGTCTAATATGTCTAATGTCTAATATGTCTAACATGTCTAATGTCTAACATGTCTAACATGTCTAATATGTCTAATGTCTAATATGTCTAATATGTCTAATGTCTAATATGTCTAACATGTCTAACATGTCTAATATGTCTAATATGTCTAATGTCTAATATGTCTAACATGTCTAATATGTCTAATATGTCTAATGTCTAATATGTCTAACATGTCTAACATGTCTAATATGTCTAATATGTCTAATGTCTAATATGTCTAACATGTCTAACATGTCTAATATGTCTAATATGTCTAATGTCTAATATGTCTAACATGTCTAATATGTCTAATGTCTAATATGTCTAACATGTCTAACATGTCTAATATGTCTAATATGTCTAATATGTCTAATATGTCTAATGTCTAATATGTCTAACATGTCTAACATGTCTAATATGTCTAATATGTCTAATGTCTAATATGTCTAACATGTCTAATATGTCTAATGTCTAATATGTCTAACATGTCTAATGTCTAACATGTCTAACATGTCTAACATGTCTAATATGTCTAATGTCTAATATGTCTAACATGTCTAACATGTCTAATATGTCTAATATGTCTAATGTCTAATATGTCTAACATGTCTAATATGTCTAATGTCTAATATGTCTAATGTCTAATATGTCTAATGTCTAATATGTCTAACATGTCTAACATGTCTAATATGTCTAACATGTCTAATGTCTAATATGTCTAATATGTCTAATATGTCTAACATGTCTAATATGTCTAATATGTCTAATATGTCTAATATGTCTAATGTCTAATATGTCTAACATGTCTAATATGTCTAATGTCTAATATGTCTAACATGTCTAATATGTCTAATATGTCTAATGTCTAATATGTCTAACATGTCTAACATGTCTAATATGTCTAATATGTCTAACATGTCTAACATGTCTAATATGTCTAATATGTCTAATGTCTAATATGTCTAACATGTCTAATATGTCTAATGTCTAATATGTCTAACATGTCTAATGTCTAACATGTCTAACATGTCTAATATGTCTAATGTCTAATATGTCTAATATGTCTAATGTCTAATATGTCTAACATGTCTAACATGTCTAATATGTCTAATATGTCTAATGTCTAATATGTCTAACATGTCTAATATGTCTAATGTCTAATATGTCTAACATGTCTAATATGTCTAATATGTCTAATGTCTAATATGTCTAACATGTCTAACATGTCTAATATGTCTAATATGTCTAACATGTCTAACATGTCTAATATGTCTAATATGTCTAATGTCTAATATGTCTAACATGTCTAATATGTCTAATGTCTAATATGTCTAACATGTCTAATGTCTAACATGTCTAACATGTCTAATATGTCTAATGTCTAATATGTCTAATATGTCTAACATGTCTAATATGTCTAATATGTCTAATGTCTAATATGTCTAATATGTCTAACATGTCTAATATGTCTAACATGTCTAATATGTCTAATGTCTAATATGTCTAACATGTCTAATGTCTAATATGTCTAACATGTCTAACATGTCTAATATGTCTAATATGTCTAATGTCTAATATGTCTAACATGTCTAATATGTCTAATATGTCTAATGTCTAATATGTCTAACATGTCTAACATGTCTAATATGTCTAATATGTCTAATGTCTAATATGTCTAACATGTCTAATATGTCTAATGTCTAATATGTCTAACATGTCTAACATGTCTAATATGTCTAATATGTCTAATATGTCTAATATGTCTAACATGTCTAATATGTCTAATATGTCTAATGTCTAATATGTCTAACATGTCTAACATGTCTAATATGTCTAATATGTCTAATGTCTAATATGTCTAACATGTCTAATATGTCTAATGTCTAATATGTCTAACATGTCTAATATGTCTAATATGTCTAATGTCTAATATGTCTAACATGTCTAACATGTCTAATATGTCTAATATGTCTAACATGTCTAACATGTCTAATATGTCTAATATGTCTAATGTCTAATATGTCTAACATGTCTAATATGTCTAATGTCTAATATGTCTAATGTCTAATATGTCTAACATGTCTAATATGTCTAATATGTCTAATGTCTAATATGTCTAATATGTCTAACATGTCTAATATGTCTAATATGTCTAATGTCTAATATGTCTAACATGTCTAATGTCTAATATGTCTAACATGTCTAATATGTCTAATATGTCTAACATGTCTAATATGTCTAATATGTCTAATGTCTAATATGTCTAACATGTCTAATATGTCTAATATGTCTAATGTCTAATATGTCTAACATGTCTAATATGTCTAATATGTCTAATGTCTAATATGTCTAACATGTCTAATATGTCTAATATGTCTAACATGTCTAATGTCTAATGTCTAACATGTCTAGACATGTTAGACATGTTAGACATATTAGACATATTAGACATGTTAGACATGTTAGACATGTCTACACTCCTGCACTTTAACTTATGTCAATACTGTCCATTTACTACTCTGTTTTTACACATTTACATTTAATCTTTCATATTTAAGTCTAGTAATGTTTAGTTAAATCCTGGTTGTATATATTCTCATTCTTAGTTTTGACATCTTTAGTGTTTATTTACTTTGTATTTAATATTATATTGTGTTTAAATTTGCTAACATTGTGTTTTTTGCTCATATTGTGTGTTTGGATAACCTGCTGCTGTAACGACACAATTTCCCAGTTTGGGATCAATAAAGTAATTCTATTCTATTCTATTCTATTCTATTCTATTCTATTCTAAACAAATGCATACATTATTACAAGGTACTGGGAACAGATTCTCAGGATTATCACTGTTGACTTAATATCAAATAGGCTTTAAATGTCTTTAAAAATGATTTAACCCTTAAATACTATTCACATTCTTGACCCAGTCAAGTAATTCCCTCATTACAAGTTTCTATACAAACTCAAAATACAACTAAAATGTATAAATAGTCTATATTAAAAAAATACTCCAATCGAGCAATTAAGAAAACAGAACAAAACAAAAAACAAACAAAAAAGAACAAAATGAACAGGCGCCATTAACATCTGTGAGATTTACATTCTCCTTCCTCATTTCTGTACTTTTCAAAGATATAGCTTTTGTACATTTTTTTTAATTGCATTATATTCATACTTTGTTTAATCGTTTCGTCAAGACCATTCCACAAAACCAACACACAAATGGAAATACACATACACAGTCTAACATGTCTAACATGTCTAATATGTCTAATATGTCTAATGTCTAATATGTCTAACATGTCTAACATGTCTAATATGTCTAATATGTCTAATGTCTAATATGTCTAACATGTCTAATATGTCTAATGTCTAATATGTCTAACATGTCTAATGTCTAACATGTCTAACATGTCTAATATGTCTAATGTCTAATATGTCTAATATGTCTAATGTCTAATATGTCTAACATGTCTAACATGTCTAATATGTCTAATATGTCTAATGTCTAATATGTCTAACATGTCTAATATGTCTAATGTCTAATATGTCTAACATGTCTAATGTCTAATATGTCTAACATGTCTAACATGTCTAATATGTCTAATATGTCTAATGTCTAATATGTCTAACATGTCTAATATGTCTAATATGTCTAATATGTCTAATGTCTAATATGTCTAACATGTCTAATGTCTAATATGTCTAACATGTCTAATGTCTAATATGTCTAACATGTCTAATATGTCTAATATGTCTAACATGTCTAATATGTCTAATATGTCTAATGTCTAATATGTCTAACATGTCTAATATGTCTAATATGTCTAATGTCTAATATGTCTAACATGTCTAATATGTCTAACATGTCTAATGTCTAATGTCTAACATGTCTAGACATGTTAGACATGTTAGACATATTAGACATATTAGACATGTTAGACATGTTAGACATGTCTACACTCCTGCACTTTAACTTATGTCAATACTGTCCATTTACTACTCTGTTTTTACACATTTACATTTAATCTTTCATATTTAAGTCTAGTAATGTTTAGTTAAATCCTGGTTGTATATATTCTCATTCTTAGTTTTGACATCTTTAGTGTTTATTTACTTTGTATTTAATATTATATTGTGTTTAAATTTGCTAACATTGTGTTTTTTGCTCATATTGTGTGTTTGGATAACCTGCTGCTGTAACGACACAATTTCCCAGTTTGGGATCAATAAAGTAATTCTATTCT